CCCCCCCCCCCCCCACCCCACCAAGGACTCCAAGAAAGGCCGGGTTCTCTGAACTGCCGTTTGGCACGAAGGCAGATGAACGTCCTCCCAATGAGACGGACCTAATCTGGTCTTAATTCTAGTTCTGTTTGTGTGATCAGAACTTTCTACGTGTGTGTCTGTGCGTACCGTTCCCTGCGCTCCATCAATGGTTCCGATCCATTTAAACAGATTATCAGATTCTGGAAACGCTGAGATCCCCTTATCGCCCGACATCTGCAGCAGAGAGACAGACGGGTCACAGGATGTCCGCAGACAGACAGGTCACATGACATGTCTCCACATGATGACGTTTTTAAAAGACCACAGACTGATGCATCATGTGACCTGCATGAGCCAATCAGCTGTCGTTTGTACAGAAATAAGAATGAACTCACCATGAGAGTCATCAGCTCCTGCTGCAACCTGAGCACGCGCGCACACACACACACACACAGAGAGAGAGACAGTCATTGATCATCCCAAGTATATACGATAGTTCACATTTAACCGCTCAGAAATCTAGTTATGACTCTAGGGCACCTGTGCACAGGTAACAAGTTTCTTTTCAGGCCTATCCTATAAATATTGACCAGCCGTGGCTCCTTTAAATTGTCTTTACTTTTAGATAAATCCTATAGTTAGGGTTGGCTTGGGTTTCCTGAACCATCCCTTAGTTCTGCTGCTATAGGCTTAGACTGCTGGAGAACAAACTGACCACATTTCCTCTCTCTGCTGCCGTCTCTACTCTTCCTGTTTATATTTGTAGTTATTTCTATCTTAACATGTTTTTTGTCTTTTCTCCTGTAGACGCTACACCTGGACCCGTCGTTCTGTCCGTTTCTACTTCCTGTCCTCTCAAACCAGCCGGTCGAAGCAGACGTCCTGAGCCTGGTTCTGCTGGAGGTTTCTTCTTGTTAATTAGTAGAGTAAACTCAATAAAATCAATAAATAAAAATCAACATCTGAGGACACTTGACTCAAGAGTGACTGAAAACTAACAGATGCTCAAAGGCACGTCAACAAGAAACCAATCAAAGCTGAGCCTTCGTGGAATCAGTCTGAATTCACACCTCAAGTTTGAAACACTCTGTTGCTTCAGATCCACACAAAAACACAGGACCCCGGGGACGACAGGGACCCCGGGGCCGACAGGGGCCCCGGGCCTGTCTCATGAATCACACAGTGTTTACAACATTCCAGCAGAAACCAGGATCAGCCTGTCACCTTTTTTTCGGTTAAATGGCGGAAAGTGCCCGGATGTTGGAAGTGTGACGTCAGTGTGCTCAATCAGCGGGTATCTGTTCAGTGGATCTTTTAAAAACGAGTCACGTGCTGAGCATCGGTAACCATGGTGATCCAGCGGGTTAAACGCTTGGCCCACCAAAGCCGGGTAAACGGATGGCAGGTTCCGGTTCGGGACTCACCGTTTGGACACGGAGCCTCTGGTCGCGCTGCCGCCGCTCTCGCTGCCTTTCAGTGCGGCTGAAGCGGAAGCTGCTGTCGCCGCCGGGTCCATGTTCTGGGAGGCCATGAGTGGTACCGGTCCGGTTCCTGTCAAGAACCCACACACAGGCAGAGGGTGAAACGGGCCGAAGCCGGACCGACTCAGCGCTTTGAGCCAACAGCAGCTACATGCTAACTGCGGCGGAACCTGACTCACAACTGATCATTTAGCTTAATATGTCCAAACATATTTATATTTACACTCACAGCGTAAATAAACAACCACATGGCATTGAATTGTAAACATATCCAACTAAAGAACTCACCGGGTGTCGGTTCGGCTTCAGTCCGTGACGAGTGTGACTATCAGAACTAAAGTCTCTACCGCCCCTTAATTTAAACCACCAGTTTCCGGATAACCAGCCAATCAGCGCCTGACTTTTAAAAACAAACTTCCGCCATCCAGCCAATAGGAACAAGGCAAAAGGAGAAAGCCCCTGTGATTGGTCAGGACACCGGAAACTGTCTCAACCGGAAACTAGGTAAAATACATTTAAACTTGGCGTCAGAGTCAAGAAAAAATATTTTTTTAAATCTAACACTTTTTGTAGGACAAAAAAAAAAAAAAAAATCAACAAACAATGTTGTTTGATTTATTGAAATATTTACAAAAAAACCCAAAACAACATTCAACAAGTTTAATTCAATTCAATTTATTTGTATTACGCCAAATCACAACAGAAGTCATGTCAGGGCACTAAAGCTGGAACGAGCAACAACTCTGACGGTTGTTTGTGCTTATGTGACAAACCGCAGTTCAGAGTATTCGGCCTACTTGGTGCGGGTGCTGTGCTCCATCTGGGTACTCCTTTGGGGGACTTCTATGCTCACCTGGGTACTTCACATCCACCTTCAACACCCCGATTCCCCAGACCCTGGTTGATAAGCTCCTCACAGTTGGACTGAGCCCGTCCCTATACAGCTGGGTCCTGGATTTCCCGACCAACAGACCACAGTCTGTGAGGATCCACAACTTCTCCTCCACCATATTCCTCAGCACTGGCTCTCCTCAGGGCTGTGTGTTGAGCCCCCTCCTGTTCATTCTGCTCACATATGACTGCGCACCTACCCATCCAGGCTGTCGCATTAATGAGTCCAGCTACAGGCAGGAGGTGGAACACCTGGAGAGTTGGTGCAGGAAGAATAAACTTCACATCAATGTGAAGAAGATGATTGTGGATTTCAGAAGAGACAAACACACTTACCCCCCACCAGCGCTGGACACAGGAGGATCTGTGATGGAAGTGGTCTCTGGAAACATGAAACAGGTGTTGAGCCTGTCAGGACAGAGAAACTGTTTTGTTCCGATCCTGGAGAGATCAGAGAAACTGGTCTAAAATAAACAGGAAATAATTTTACTTTAAGCAAAATACAAGATGGAAAACATCACTTTTAAAATCTTTAAGGAGAATTTTATTTATTTGTTTGCGATGAGAACCTGGCTCCGGGCCGGTAGGTGGCGCCACAGCTGGAAGTTAACGGAACCGACTGAACTTACCGGAAGTGTTCCGTTCTGAGCGGCGGTTCCGTTCTGGTCGGAGGTTCTGGTGGAAACATGAACGCGCCTCCAGCCTTCGAGTCGTTTCTTCTGTTTGAAGGAGAGAAGAAGATCAGCATCAGCAAAGACACGAAGGTTCCCAACGCCTGTCTCTTCACCTTAAACAAGGAGGACCACACGCTGGGCAACATCATCCGCGCGTGCGTCACACACACACACACACACACACACTGCGGGATCACAGGGAACCACGGGAGGTCGCGTGTTGTGTCAGACCGTGTGTTGTGTTTGGAGTACACACCTGTCCTCACACACACCACTCAGGTGTAGCCTCTTGTTGGAGGTGTGGGCGGAGCTTGTACTCAGGTGACACCTGTTTCTTCTGTGGTGGTTCCAGGCAGCTGCTGAAGGATCCTCAGGTTCTGTTCGCTGGTTACAAAGTTCCTCATCCTCTGGAGCACAAGATAGTGATCCGGGTCCAGACCACCCCCGACTACAGTCCCCAGGTAAAGGACTTCAAGTCTTCTTGCTCCTAACGAGTTCTTATCCAATTCATACTTCATCCAAAGTGGCCAAATCGGCCATTTTGTTCTCGGAGTAGCTCCGCCCCTTCTCGACACAGGGCCAACATTTTTATCACAGGCGTACGTGCAGAGTATTGTGTGATTGGTCAGAAGTTTGTGGGCGTGTTCCTCAGTGTGCTCGGACGTTCATCTGTATGGCTCTAGGGTTAGGGTCAAATATCCAAAACCTCCTGGATGGAGGTCGTGCACACATCGTGCACGGAGGAGTCTGTTGAAAAGTGTGGCGCGCTCTTCATGACAGTTTTGTGGCTAAACAGCGGCTGCAGGGACGGCGTGGGACTTAACAGGAAGAAGCTTGTGACAAATCAGGAGTGGGAGGGGCTTCCCAGGAGCTCTGCACCATGTCTCTTGGCCAACGTCCCGCAACCACATGACCGCAAGTCCGTTTGGCTTTGGGTGGAGTATGCTGGGCCCTTCAGTCCTCCATGAGACTGTCCCAAGTCCTTCATGAGAACTTTAGAGTCCTCTGAGATTGACAAAGTCCTCCATTAGACTGTCTGAGTCCTTGATGAGACAGTCCAGGTCCCTCCATGAGATCATCTGAGTCCTGTATGAGATTGAGAGACAGTCCCAAGTCCTCCATTAGACTGTCCAAGTCCTCCATTAGACTGTCTGAGTTTCTCCATGAGATTGAGCGAGTCCTGAAACAGTCCCAAGTCCTCCATTAGACCATCCAAGTTCTCTGTGAGACGGTCTGAATACAAGCAGAAGCTGTTCAGTTATTAGACACCAGAACGTAACGTTGAAGCTGAAGCTTGACCAGCGCCCCCTGCAGGCCGGCTGCAGATTAACAAGTAAATCAATGGGGATTTATTCTCGGTGTTGGTTTTTTTTCGTCACCTTCCTGTATGCAAGTCTTCAAATTTTGGACTTTAACCTGTCTTTAGTTCTTTGATGTGGGTGGGGCTTATTCTCCAGAAACAACATGGCTGTACGGCTAAAGGTGCTTTGTTTTCATGTTGATAGTTATAAAACGTGAATGTCAACAGGAAGTGAGGGTGTGTAATAACAGGATGTGATGTCATTGCCTCTACAGGAAGCATTCACCAACGCAATCACAGATCTGATCAGCGAGCTGTCGCTGCTCGAGGAACGCTTCAGAGTCGCCATCAAGGACAAACAAGAAGGCATTGAGTGACCCCGCCCCCAACTGTGACCTCACTTCCTGTTGCAGCTTACATTACTGTTTGTTTTTCTAAATAAAGACATGTCAGATTCTTCAGCTGGCAATGGTCCGTTTTCTCAGAACTGTCTCTGATGAGACCAAACACACCAGGTGAACACCAGAACCAGAACTCTGCAGAACCTAGAAGGTTGACAGGACAACCCAAGTCCACATTTAAACACGATGAGGACAGTTCTGTCCAGTTCAAACTGGTCCATCTGAGGGACAGAACCCTGTCTGTCCAGTTCAGACCAGTCCATCTGAGGGACAGAAACCAGTCTGTCCAGTTCAGACCGGTCCAACGGTGAGACAGAAACACAGTTCATTCTGGTCCATCTGAGGGGAAGAAACCAGTGAAACCACAATGTCTACAAACAGATTTTATTGGGTATTTAAAGTAAAAATGTTCAGTGAAAATTAGGAGGGGGTCTGAGGGTCACATGATCCTCCTGGTCCCGAGACCTTCAGGGTTCGGAGTCTCTCTGGGCCTCCATGGCTCGCTGCATCTTCTCCACCATCCACAGAGGAACGGTGAACGGCTTCAGCTCGTCCATCCTGACGTCCGGACAGTCCCTGAGGGAGACACCGGTTACCATGGAAACCACATCCCTGATACCAGATCAGAACCAGAACTAGACTCAACAGGTCATAAAGACATGACAAAATGTGAGACTGGGTCAAAAAGTACCGTCCAATACGGTGTTCAGTATCCACCTTATTCCTAGCCCCCATGATGCCTTGGGTCAATTATGGGCACAACTTCCAGCGTGGACCAGAACCGGTGTTTGTTTATATGCAAAACAGTTTTATTTCATTATTATTTAAACCAGGAAAATCCCACTGAGATTAAAAATCTCTTGCAAGAGAATCCTGGCCAAGACTGGCAGCAGCACGCAGAGGTTACAGAGCATTCACAGCAGGAACAGAAAAAGTTAACTCCGTCATAAACTCGTTAAAAGATTCCTCAGTTAAAACCTTTACAGATGATTCCTTCTCCAAATCGGTGAGAGCAGCCTGAAAACATTTAGTGACAACAGCTCCTTCAGGTTCCTGCATTTCTGCAGCAGGTTACAAGAAGACGGAGCAGAAAACTGAAAAGATTTCTTTCTAAGTTCAGTTCGGACTTTAGGCACCGAAAGTGAAAACAAGTTCTCACAACGAAGACGATGTGCGAACAGTACGAGCTAATTCAATTAAAAAAGTACTTTATTAATCCCAGAGGGAAATTATTTGTTGTTGTAACTCGTTATCCTCGTTTCATTAAGAGATGTTATAGATGCTGATGCTGTAGACAGGAAGGATCTCTTGTAAAGGTCCATCCCACAGTGGATCCTAAGAAACTGGCTGCAGACGTCGTCCGATCCGTCCACTCAGACTCGGCTGGCCTCTCGGTTCCCCCGGACTGTAGGACCGCTAAATGCCGGGCAGAACTCCTCCCAGAGCGATGGCCACTCCTCCCATCAGTCTGCCGAGCTCCTCGTCGCTGTGGACAGCCAACTGTAGGTGCCGAGGGACGATCCTGTCCTTCTGCTGTCACGAGCCGTGTTTCCTGCTAGTTCCAGGATCTCAGTGGTCAGGCACTCGAGCACAGCTGGCAGGTTGATGAGAATGCGTCCATAGAACATCCTTTTCAACTCATTTGAGAGTTGGGGCCATAGTTGAGATATTATTTGAGCTTTTGAGCTGTTAATCAGCTGCTGTTGGTTGTAGAAAACTGCCTTGTTGCCATGGTTACGCATCATAACAAATGTCCAAAACTAAAAAAGTTTCAGTAAAAATCCTTCCAGCTGCTCAGCATCTGATACCAGAGGAAACAACCATCTGAAAAATGTGATTTACATCCAGAAAAAAGAGGAATTAAAGTTTCCAAAAGCAAAATCTCAGAATGAAAGTAACAGAGCTGCTCCAACATTCAGCCACCTGGAGCGGCACAATTCTAGAATTAATGTAGTTTCTTCCAGCATTGTGGATTTAAACATGTAGAAGCACCACCTGTCAGAGCTCCAACAGGACAATATAATCCTGCTGCCTGCTGAGGACAAGGGACGGAGGACGACCTGAAGAAGTGGCTGCAGATTACATCTACAAGCATATTTAGCTACTTCTACAAGCATATTTAGCTACTTCTACAAGCATATTTAGCTACTTACACTAGCATATTTAGCTACTTACACTAGCATATTCAGCTACTTTATGGACTCGGTTCTTTTGATGGTGAAGTGATGAACAACCTGAACAGCTCTGAGGTGTATCAGTGTCTCCACAGTAATAAGGTCGGTGGTGTTTTGTTAGAAGAGGTGGGACACAATCTTCTTGACCTTAAATCAGACACAGAGCTCAGATAAAGTCTTAAAGTCCTCTCCGCCACCACGATTAGCCAACGCTTACTGCTACTTCCTGTCTGACAGGAAGTTGTACCCAGAATCATTTATACAGTAGCACCCCCAGGAATAAGGTGGATAAAGAGTTTCAAATTAAAAGCATCTCATAAGAAAAAAATAAGCTCCACCTTTGAAAATAAAGGCATGAGATCAGAAACTCTCAGCTACTACCAACTCCACATCCATCAGTTACTCCTCAAAAGGAGAACCAGACCAGTCCAAACAAAAAACCTTTCTCAGAACCATCTGAGCCTGGAGGTAGTTCTGGATCCAGATGTTTCTGTCTCAGGTAAGATGGACTCACCTGTACTCATCACTGCAAGACAGGTCCTGGATGTCCTCCTCAATCAACAGGTAGGCCTGCAGGACACAGAGACACAGAGAGACACAGATTTAGTTCCAGAAGTCCTGCTGAACATCAGCTGAAGACGTCTCAACTTCCCTCTGAAGACAATAAAGTTTCTTGAACTAATCCAGGTGATTTAAGCTGCTCTGGTGATCAGGTTAAAAATCTAATTATTAATCAGTTTTGTGATCGGATTAATTAATAATCGGGTCAGTGACTGTTTATTTTACCAGGTGAAATGTTTGGGAGACATTAACATGAGCTGAGGTCATGTGATCGATCAGAGATTGGTGCAGATTCTCACCATCTTTCCTCCGGTCGCCCTCATGTGATGTCTCTCTGCCAACCACTGCTTATCCTTCGAATCTGCTGCATACTGACACACACACACACACACGCACGCACGCACGCACGCACGCACGCACGCACGCACACACACACACACACACACACACACACACAGTTAATCAGTGCCACCCCTCCTCAGCTCTCACACCACTACAAAGCTGACAGGAAGTGGACCGAGCCCAACTTGAGACAGGTGCAGAATCAACCCAGGTGAGACCCAGCACAGACAGAGACAATGACAGACAGACAAACAATGACAGAGAGACAGAGACAATGACAGAGAGACAGAGACAATGACAGACAGTCTGTTTTGTTTCTACACCTGACCTGAGCTGTGATGTCAGCAGGTTTTACCTTGAACAGGTCGGCGTGTTTGATGTAGATCCGTCCTCTGGTCCCGCCCATCCCCAGCGCCCTGTGATGACATCAGAACAGCTGATGAGGCCGACACCTTGTCCACTTTTAAGATTAGGCCCAAGTCTTTCCTTTGTGATAAATCCTATATTTAGGGTCGGCTTGGGTTTCCTGAGATATCCCTTAGTTCTGCTTCTATAGTTTTAGACTGCTGGAGGACAGACTGACCTCATGTCCTCTCTCTGCTGCTGTCTTTACTGTCTCTACTCTTCCTGTTTGTATTTGTAATTATTTATATCTTAACGTGTTTTTTGTTTTTCCTCCTATAGAAAGTTCACCTGGACCTGCCATTCTGTGTCTGTTTCTATTTCCTGTCCTCTCAAACCAGCCGGTCGAAGCAGACGGACGCTCGTCCTGAGCCTGGTTCTGCTGGAGGGTTCTTCCTGTTAAAAGATAGTTTTTTCTTTCCACTGTCTCCTTTGTGCTTGTTCAGGATGAGAGACTGTGACGAAGTGAAGATTCAACACAATCTGTTGCTTCCTCAGACAAAGAACTTTTACTGACTGTCTTCATAATGTCTGATGTTTCTGCCCTGAGACGAGTTCTGCTGGAGCTACAGAACAAACTGAAGCGTTTAGTGACTTTAGGGTTTCTGACTCACTTGTTGGCTCTTGAGCCGAGGACGAACGTGCTGCTGTCGTTCAGTCTGGATGGATCCCACTGAAATATACCAAGAAATGTTTCAGCCTCGACTCCATTATTCACCTGAACACGTTTAGGACAGGTGCGTTCAGGACAGGTGTGTTTAGAACAGGTGCGTTTAGGGACAGGTGGGCTCAGGACAAGTGTGTTTAGAACAGGTGTGTTCAATACAGGTGTGTTCAAGACAGGTGTGTTTAGAACAAGTGTTCAGGACAGGTGTG